CTGTTTTGATGGTACTGTGCTGTGTGACCGATCACTGCACTGCACCACTGTTTTGGTGGCACTGTGTTCATGACCGATCTAAAAATTAAGGGGTGGAAAGCAGCATGCCTTCCTACCATCCATGGGAAGTGGGACTTGAGGCAACTTTGGGCTCATTTTATCTGAGATCTGTTATGTAAAGAGCAGTTGGATGGCAGCTGTGGCTAGAAGTGGGATCAAGAGAATGGGGTCCACAAATGATGGACTGTGGACCAAATCTGACATTTTGTGAATAAACATTTAGTGGAGTACAGCTCTGTCCATTTACTTGTGTGTTGCCTGTGGCTACATTCACTCTACAATTATAGAGTTGAATAGTTTAGACAGACACTATGCCCTATAGTTTTTGCATGACCTACACCAAAATGTAGTAAACATTTGAATTTTCCTCAAAACCATTTGTTCTTTAGGCATGTCAGGAAGTAAGCTTATTTTCAACCCTAGAGAGAGAGAGTTAGAGCAAAGTCCTCAGGCTGTTCGCACAGGCCAAAGAATATAGAAGCTGGATGCGTATCAGGGGAGTTCAGTCAATACGTCTGATCCCGTCATCCTTAATAGCACAGTTGGTTGGTTGGAGCCCAAATTACCTACTGTTTGTTGTAATTTCAGTATCCTCTAATGCAGTTTTTGTCCTGAGGTGAGCAGGATGAAAAGGCTTTTCTTCACTGGTCTCCTTTAGGATGGACAAACATCACAGATATGGCCTTTTATTAAAAGCTGTCATGACAGGATACTCCTTAGTGACTGGGGGCATGCTCACACACTTCAGGTTTGGGGGTGGGGCTCTAAACACTATGAGTGAATTATATTGAATGAATTCTCTTTAAGGATGCTTCTTAACTTCTGGCAACTGCCTAGGCTGGTTCCAGACACAGAACAGTCTGGAATGTTCTGTGTACTTGTCACCTATGTAGCCACCACTTATCCTTGCCCTGAACTTATTTCTTCAGAAAAGCCTAGTTTAACTGCTCATTAGGTCAGTTAGTTTTACAGTGGGACTCACCCCTCAACCAGTTTTTGGATTTATTTTTATGTGTATGAGTTTTGCCTACAGGTATATAAGTGCACCTGTGCCATGCAAAACCCGTGGAAACCAAAAGAGGGCATCAGATCCCCTGGAACTGGAGTTACTGAAGTTGTTAGTGATGTGGTGCTGGGAACCAAACTCACATGCTCTGGAAGAGCAGCCCGTGGTGCTCTTAACCACTGAGCCACCTCTCCAGCCTATTCCCTCCCTCTTCCCTCCTTTTGATAGGGGCTCTTGACGCAGGCCTGGATGGCCTAAAACCTATGTAGACCAGGCTGGCCTTTGCCTCCTCAGTGCTTGGACTGAAGGCACATGCCTCCATGCTCAGCTCTTTCCCTCCATTCTTATTCAGTGCGTGCACACCCCTCATTTAACATGGTCTCTCCTGGACACCACGAGGAAGAGTCTGGTCTTCTTTTGATCACTATATTAGGACTTACTTATCCAGCATCATTTTCTGGCACACAGTATTAGTTGAATGAATGGAAGCTGAGGCAAATTATATTTTAAAAAGTAAATGAATGGCAAAGCTACTTGTATAATCCTTCCTATTAACCAGAATTACTTGAGAAAGCCCACTAAGAATGGGTGGTAGCTAGTGTCTGGGAAACCAGAAAGCCTTTTTTGACCCAGTATTATGAATCCTGTCCTTTAAATCAGGAAATACTGTAGTCTGAAGTATTTGTATACCCTCAAAATTTACATACTTCAGAGGGGATGGTATTGGCAACTGGGGCTTTGGGGGAAGGGAAATAATTAGGTAATAAAGACACTCTTCATGAGACTTCAGCCATTATAAAATGAAAGATAAAGCAAAAAGATGGCCATCAACAAACCAGGAGAAAGTGCCATCACCAGGCACTGAATCTACAGGTGCCTTGAACTTCTCAGCCCCAATGATGAAAAGTAAATGTCTGTTGTTTAAGGTGCCCTGCATAAGGTTATTTGGTACAGCAGCCAAGCCACCTACACACCTAATTTTGTTTAAAGAGAAAATTTTCACCTTTGAAAGTCTTTGTTTTCCCTTGCAATTGCACATACTAGATTCAACAAAAGGTGTATTTGGTTAGGAGATGAGTTATTAATAAGCACATACAAAAAGTGATAATCTTTACCCAATATGTATGAAATAAAAGTAGTGCTCCCAAAGCCAACAAACAGCAAGCACCCTGTGTAAACTGGCAACACCATAATCAGAGAGGTAGTGCAGGCTGTGCCAGCACTGACCAGCTCCTCCCTGAAAACAGGATCTCCTCGCATTTGCTAAGTCTCTAGATAAACACAACTTCAGTGCCATAGAGGTGCACACAACTGCTTTCACAAGTCAGGATGGGGTAGGTCCAGCACACCAGCTGTTCTTGTGGTAATATCTACTAATTATAGAATTAGCATTAGCCATAAGTGAAGATAGCTTGGAGAAAACTTAACACCCAGAACGACGGCACAATCTCTGCCTACTGACCGTGATTCATTGGAAGATGCAGAGCTAAGCTTGCAGCTAGCCATCTCAAGCACCTAAATTAGGCTAAAAATGATATGCCATTAATATTTAGCTGCTGAAAACAAACTTGACTCAAACATATGGAGATTTTCTGCTTTTATGGGTAAAAGCCCCCCTTCAACGTTCTAATAGAATTTATAATAAGCAATCCAATGGCAGGAGAAATATTAGACTTTAAAAGAAAACCACTGACTACATTCATATGTCTTTTTAGGAACCTGTCAAGACTACTTTGTCACACACAGAACTGGCTTCAATAAAAACTTGCCCTCGCCCCAGCTGAAACCCAGCAGTTAAAGAATCCATTTGGTCACTTGGATAGAGCTGGCACTATGCACACCAATCAGTGCTCTTCAATATTATAAGTACTGTATTTCAAGTGGAAAACCAAATATTAAAGAATACTCATGAATTTTAAGAGAAAAACTGGAACTAGCTCAAACATTTAAAATGATTAAATTATGGCACATGGATTTGATGGCACACCCAGACAATAAAATACATTTCAAAAAATGTATCAAAGGGTTGAAAATTTATCCATATATTATGCTTTCAATTTTGACATTATCTTTGGGAGGAAACAGTGGAAAGAGGAAAAGGAAGCAGGGAGGGAGGGAGGGAGGGCAGCCAGGGACCTGCTCTCTCCTCAGTTTCAGGAGAGAGCAGGAAGCAGGGAGATGGAAATCAGACCTTCTACAGAGCAAATTAGAGAATAAAACTGACAAGCCCTGCCTGCCCCATGGCCAGAGGCAGAGAGAAGCTGCCAGGGAGGGACAAGGGAACATGCAACCATGTGAGAAACATTCAAGACCCAGGTTTCTCCCTTAATCTTTTCTGCCTTAAAAACAAAATGAAAATATCCACTATTAAAATTATAAGTAATGACAGACATTTCCCATACTTTCAAACTGTCTACAAAAATGCTTTCTAAAAAAAGCAAAAGTAGAACCAGGCCTGGTAGTGCACACCTTTAATCGCAGCATTAGGGAGGCAGAGGCAGGTGGATCTCTGTGAGTTCAAGGCCAGTCTGGTCTACATAGTGAGTTCCAAGTCAGCTGAGGCTACAGGGAGACCCTGTCTCAAAAAGATCAAATAAATGAAGCTTCTCCTTCCAGTTTAGAAAAACTAGTTCTCAAGCTTTTAAAATACTAGCTCAGAGGGCCACAAAGCACTGTGGTGCGGCAAAGAACACCAACCTGTCACAGGGAAGAGTGAATCCTAAAGGGTCAAAGCTTTTCAACTATACTCCCATTTGGGCAGGTCGGTGTCCAGTGTCCTCTGCTCTCTCCATCTCATGAGACAGGCTCACTTAGGCACCACAGCCGTTTTGGCTAGACTGGCCACCTTGCTCTACCACCACCTCCTTCCCCCACTGGGGCTACAGAAGCACCACCGTGCCTGGCTTTTATGAGCATGGGGACTTGAACTCTGGTCACTTGTACAGCACACACTGAATGCTGAGCCATCTCCCCAGCCACTTATATTTTCTAATATTGTTCAAGTATTAATTATACAAGATAATTGTCAACCTAGCCATTTAACTCTCAACACTGATACTTGAGGCAGTCTTACAGAGCTCATCTATAATATATATGTAATTTGGCTAAGAGTGAACCTTTTAAAATACTAAGCTGACCTGTAATTGGCTATATAAACCAGATCCACCTACTTCTGCTGGGATTCAAAGCGTGTGCCTGGTGGGCTCTGCTTTCCAGGAGACTGTAAAGAAACATGACCCCTTGCGGAACCAGTCTTGGACAGGACTGTGAGGCTCTTCAGTACTAGTGCTGAGCATCAAGGGTTCATCACATTGTTCAAACTGGTAGTAACAAGTAAGATCCACACACATGATCATACCTTCCTCTGCTAGGTCATGATCTACCATAAGAAAAAAAAAAAGGACTTAAAGACTAATGAATTTCTTTAGGCCAGGTGTGGTAGTGCATACCTCTAATACCAGCACTTGGGAGGTAGATCTGAGATTGAGGTCAGCCTGGTCTCTACATAGCAAGAAAAATTTTGTTCCAAATAAGCTGAAGATCAACAAGGTTTCTGATTTGGTGAGGTAAAGGACTTACTATGGAAATGGTCCAAATGATAATTAAATATTTGGATGGAAGGGCCATTCTTTTCAAATCACTTAGGCCACAAAATGAAGGCTGTTTATGCTCCAACAGTGACTGTCAAAGAATCCCTTTAGAAAAAGTAATCAATCATAAATTACAGTGCCCTCTAGCTGGGCATGGTCGAACACGCCTCTAATCCCAACATTTGGAAGGCAGGTGGATCTCAGTTCAAGGCCTGCCTAGGTTATATAGTGAGTTCCAGGCCAGCTGGGCCTGTCTCAAAAAAACAAAAAAATGTACTAGAGTGCCCTCAAATACCACCAAACCAAATCTGCACACTGATAAACAATGAAAACCAACACAGAACCATACAACAAGCTGTGGTTTTTATTACTTAGAAAAGCCTTATTTCGCTTTCTGACTCTGTGCTTGTGCCTTCAACACTTTCACAACGATTTTCTGCTCCTCAATAAGGAAAGCACGCTTGATCCTAGAAGAAAAGAAAAATCTCAGTTATCAGTTAACACAGGAAAGTCATGTAAGACAGAACAAAGCAATCAAGGGCCCAGAAAAGTTTACAGAACAAAAAATTCATGTAGCTTGGGAAATTATATGGATGCACATTTAAAGCAAAGTCATTCTTCAATTCCAAGTGGTATTGGGATCCACAGCATATTACTTGATTTTCAAAATGTCTTAACCAATGATTGGAAATTGAAATTAAGGAGTAAAGAAAGGAGTCAGAGCCTGGGACTTTATCTTAACATATGGGCCCATGTCTGCAGTTACTGAACCAAAGAGGCAAAAAGTCGAAGTCCTCTAACTTGAAATATATGACCCCCCTCATTTCTTATGCTAATTTACAATGTCCTTTCTGCTTCTCTAAAACAACCAGAATTGTGGGTCAACTTCAAATGGCACCCTTAGTCTCGTCAAATACAAGCACGAAGTTTCTCCTCTAAACCTTACAGTTTGTCTGTCTCACAGAATTTCCTGTTTACATTAATGAACTATGCTTTACTCATCCCTGACAAAGCACTTCCATGAACTGGGCCAGCAGGTCTGCTGTCAGGACTTGGCTCCACTGGACTCAAGACCTCACTGCGGAAGCCATCTCCTCAGCAATCACAATTCTTTCCAAAGACTTGTTTTTGAGACATGGTCTCCCAGCTGGCCTGGAACTCACTATGTAGACCAGGCTGGCCTCAAACTCAGAGATCTGCCTGCCACTGCCTCCCACTAATTTTAAAAGAGCCAGTGGAGTCAAGAATAAAGACCTCTATAAAACCTCCATTTGGTTTTGGCACTGCCCCTTACTGGCCATGTGAACTTACATAAAAATGGGCACAGAAAGTCCCTCTAGATGGACTTTATCATATACACACCACCCATGCACGCAACAACCACTCTTAGCTACTGTATTATTCTTTCCCATCTCTACAAGACCTAGTCCTCTCCCCCATCCAGGCTCCGGGTGTCAAGGCAAGTAAGTACAAATGTCCTTCTCCTTTGTAAAAGGCATCTGTACACTCCAAAGGCTCATCTTTTGTTCAACAAATAACTTCATCTAATCTGCTGCAATCTGTTTCTGGTTCACCAGATTCTCAACTTTGCCAAAAATCTAACTACTCCCACATTTGAAACTAAGAATCCTTTTCTTTTAAGACTCAAAATCCGTGTTTTCTACCTTTGTTGTCTGTTACTTAAGCCACACCAAAACTGATACTGTTCCTACACCTTTAAGGCCTCTCTCCTACCCATTCACTCACAAACATAACACTTAACCACTTCTATAAAAACCAAAGTCCCACCTGGTAAGGTGGCCCATGCCTTTAATCCCAGCACTCAGGAGCAGAGGCAGGCCGATCTCTCCGACTTCCAGACCAGCTACATAGTGGGACCCAGTCTAAAACAAACAAACCCAACCACCACCAAAGTTCTTTTAGGGGTGTCCCTAAATTCTGACATTGTCTCAGTATCACTTACTTTGTATAAGCAATTATCTGTAGTAAAGGAAGGATTTAAGTCAGTTACCTAGACCAGAGCAACAGAAACATACAATTCGCTTAATCCAATTTGATTTAGACATTTTACTCACCTGTCACGAACACATTTAGCACACATAGAACCACCATAGGCCCTGCTGACGTGTTTTTTTGTTTTGGACAATCTCATGAGGACTTTAGGCCTCACAGCTCGAACCTGCATAATAAAAACACTGTAATTATCTTATGAGGTTTAAAAACAAATTTTCCTAGACTTTGGTGTTAAGACTAGGTTACAAAGGGAAATGGTCTAAAGCTTTATCTGAAAGGCTCGTCAATTCACCTACCGATGGGGGTATTTGATCATCTTAGCAGTGACCTCTCCTTCGCTCACTTTCTTATCAAGGGACTGAGACTCACAAAAGAATCACTTACCCCTCGAAGTCTGCCCGGGCACACACCACACGCAGATTTTGGTGCTTTCCCAACCTTCTTGGTGTAAAGGTAAACAATCCTGTTACCAGGGGTTCGGGACCTAGGAAGGCAGGTAAAAGCCAGCAACTCAGTGTATCAGAGTAAATGAATGTATTTGTGATTCTAAATTTGGTGAATACTTACAGCCTAGTTTTGTTAGAGGCTGTGTTGTAGGAAAGCCTACGACGGTATGTCAAACGCTGGACCATTCTGAGTGCCTAAATTAAAAATAAAATAATTTTCTCACTGTAAATGTTAAGTCAAACCACAAAGCATCATCACATAATTTACGTGAGTATCCTTACATATATACATGCGTTCACACACTTGAGCCCTTATTGAAAAGACTCCCGTGTTTTAAAACTACTTTCATTTAGAAAGGACTAGTAAGAGGCAATGGGTTCCTTTCTGTAATCAAATGTGGAGCTTGGTTAAAATTCTCAAGTTAGCCCAGTACTAGGGAGGCAGAGGTAGGCGGATCTCTGTAAGTTCAAGGCCAGCCTGGTCTACATAGTGAGTTCCAGGACAGCTGGGGCTACAGGGAGACCTTGTCTCAAAAAGACCAAAACAAAAAAAATTCTCAGGTTAGTAAGGCTCACTCCTAAGTGTCTGGTGTCTAGACAACTTGCTACCAGGAAGACTGAAGAGACACTGGCTTAAAGGACCCAGACAACCGTGCTCTTCACGTTGAATCCTCAGTGTATCATCTGCAATTCAGAGCCAAGTGCTTGCCTTTTTCCTTCTCAAACAGAATCTTATTTAACCTAGTTTACAGCACGACCATTAGCAATAAATAAAGGGCGTCAACGACTCCTGACCTTAATTCCTGCACTTAGGAGGCAGAGGCAGGGGCATCTCTGTGAGACTGAGGCCAGCTGAGGCTACAAGATCCTGCCTGAAAAAAAACAAAACAAAATAAAAAAAGAAATTAACCAGCTCTCTCTACCCAGTGCCTGACACTGGGAAGATACCTATTTACGACCCTACATTTTGTCCCAAGCAGCATCAAGAATTCTGCCTCCTAATGGGCCCCGTTCTGTCCTCCTCTGAAGCGCAGTGGTTACTTAGCAAGTGAGACACGCAGCACTATGAACGAGGCCTCCCCGTCTGCATGCGGACCTCAACATGCCAGGCCAGGGCTCCACGCATGTCACCCCGAGTGACAGGACTCAGTACCTCCAGCTTACTTCTAGCACACCGAGGCCGCCCGAGGCGAAAGCCACTGCGCCGTCTGCACTCTCACATGGACAGGCCTCGCCATGGAGACTCCGGCCACGAGGACGCGCCAGAAAACCCCGGGCGCCCCTCGAAGCCTGGCTCTGCCGTCGCGGGCTGCGGGCCACACTCTGGACCGCTCCGCTTCCCGGGCTCCGCGGGGTTCGTTCCGGCCGGCGGCGAGCCCAGGCCGACAACCGGCCCCGCAGGCCTCCCTCCGCCCCACGCCAGCTGCGGAGCCGCCGCCGGGGACGCCCAGCTCCACAAACCCCGCGGATGGAGGCGGATTGTACCGAGAACACACACGGAGAAGACACAGGCCACCATACCTGCAGACACAGTCCCCGGAAGAGGAAAAGGAAAGGGCGCACGAGGTCAAGGGTCAAGCGTACATACGCAGGACAGGAAGTCTCATCCGAGGAAAGGACCTGCCGGAGCGAGTGTCGCCATGTTGTACGGAATACTGCGCGCGGCCACGTTGTACGGAATCTGCCGCGCCGCCCGGCGCTGAGGCGGATTTGTAGTGAGGCTTCCATAGGCGTGAAGCTCCCTGGCCGTGGGTCACGGAAAAGTAAATGGAGAATCACTATGGAAGTAAGAGCAAAGGAGAAAAGAAAAAAAAGAACAGAGGCAATTCAGAATCAACTTCCTTTACAGTGATGAGTTCCCTCTACGACACATTTAGCCAGCTTTGAGGTTAGACCTGGGTTTAAGTCTCAGTTTGCACCTCATTAGGTGACCTTCCAGGACCTTCTGGTATTCAACCTTCCCTTCTTGTCATTTATTAAAAGCACAAACTTTGCAAACAAGTAAGACTTTTAATCCAGCATCTGCTAATTACTAGCTGTGTTGCTTTGGACAAATCCTTAGGTCTTTGAAAGGAAGATATTATTAAGTGCCCTTGCAGTGCTTTGATCAAAGTCACCCGGAGGTTAAAGCATTTAGCCTAGAAATTTTGAGAGGAGTAAGTGCGCAGTAAATAGTGGTTAATCTGTGATTATGTGCAAAGAGCTTCAGGATGCTTTACTTGGGTGGTGAAGTTTGATCTGTATGAAGATGAGGCACAGAGGAGGGAAACAACCTCCAAAGGATAATGTGGAAGCTTAAGGCTCTGGGTCTAGGACTCTGAAAATTGGGTCCTTAGTTTTCATCATCCTGTCAAAGAGATTCATGACCTCCAAAGAAGTAATCAACACTTTCCTGTTAATAGGCAGCCTCTTCCTAGATGACCTAAATAAATAAGCAAGGGGACTTGTTTGTGTTCCTCCATGAGCCAGTCCCTGTGCTGCTGCCTCTTGATGACAGGGTTTTGTAAAGCTGAAAGCATTTTCCAGAGGAAGGCACTCCAGGACCAGAGGGTCTGGATAAAGCATCTCAGTACCCTCAGTACCCATTCAAGTTTTCTGAAGGGTTTGTATTCCAACTAGCACCTGAGAAAGCAGGAAAGTGCCTGAGGGCTGGTGATAGTCTGTACAGCTATCTGTAAGGCCTGTAAACTCCATTATGCCCTACATAGCTGCCACCTTTGTCAAGACACTAACTAGAAGGCTCCCATTGCATGGCTCCGCTATCTCTGTCAAATACCTGCTACCCTCCGACTTGCTCATAAAGTGCTTCTAGTCTTCCCAGTCTCTAATCCTTTCTGTTTTTGCCCCAGGCACCGGGATAAAGGTTGGTAGAGAGAGCCAAGTATTTTTGAATAAATGAATGGGTGAATGTACTAACTTAGGATCTAATCTCTATATCTCTAGAGAGGCTTTGCTGGGCAGAGTACATGGGAGATGCGACCTTTAATATAGTGCATTGCAAATTACTCATGCATCTCTCTGAGTCCCCCTCTCCATTCTGGCAGGAAAAAAAATGGTTTTGCTATTGCAGTTTTCCCCCATTGTATTTAGCGAACGCCACCACATCCGGCAAAAAACAGTTAATTTAAATGCTATCAAATTCAACATTACTCTGAATTTGTGGGATTGTGTCTTGTTTTTTAAAAAAGACAAACCTTGGGGCTGGAGGGATGGCTCAGTGGTTAAGAGCACTGATTCTTACAGAGGACCCCCTGTTCAGTCCCAGAACTCACACGGAGGCTGTGTAACTCCAGTTCCCAGGATTCTGATGCATTCTGGTCTCCATGGGCACTAAATGCATGTAGTGCACATACAAACATACAGGCAAAACACTCATACACATAAAATAGACCGGCTTGGCCTTGAACTCACAGATCTGCCTGACTCTGCCTCCCGAGTGCTGGGACTAAAAGTGTGCACCACCATACCCAGAAAACAAACAAACAAACAAAAAACCAAAAAAAACCCCACCTTTTTCTAAAAAGGTTCATAAGATATTCACCTAAGCCTTGCTCATATTTGTTCCAGACTCTCTCCTCTGTCCTTCCTTCCCCACCTTTTGCTGGCCCCCTTCCAGCCCACTTAAGCTCTCTCTCTCTCTCTCTCTCTCTCTCTCTCTCTCTCTCTCTCTCTCTCTCTCTCTGATATAGATCTAGGTTACCTTACCTTGTTCCCCCATTTGGATCCTTTCCTCCTTTTCCCTCATAATCCCCTTCTACTTTCTTGTCATGTAACATATGTATACATGTACAAGAGAAAACACGTAATATTTGTATACCCAAGTCTGGCTTATTTTGCTTAACATAATCTCCAGTTCCATTCATTTTCCTGCAAATAATGTAATTTTATTTTTCTTTGTAGCTGAATAAAACTCCCTTGTGTATACGTACCATATTTTCCTCATCTGTTCATTTGCTGATGGGAGTATAGCCTGGTTTCACACTTTTGCTCTTGTCCTTAGTGTAGCAATAAACATGGATTCCACCTACATATTCAGTAATGTAAAGTCTTCTGGAGGCTGAGTACGGTGCCACAAGTCTGTGATCCCAGTACTCAGGAGGATGAGTCAGGAGGAGTATGAGTTTGAGGCGAGCCTAGCTACATCCAGAGACTTTGTTTCAAAATAAAATAAAACCTTTTCATGGACTTATTTAGCCTTTGCATGGACTCTTCTGTATAGAGTGATTTAGGTAGACAGGTTTTATATATATATAATTTTCTAATTTCAGTTATTGCACTGTCACCCCACCCAATCTAATATGCAAATTTTGACTTATACCAGAGTTACGTATATCTACTGGTCTGTGATCTGACTTTCTATTCTGTTCCACTGATTGTGTTGTCTTTGCTTTATTAGTTCCACATTTTACTACTTCTTTAGAATTCATAAATTCTAACCATGAAAATGGTACATATGTACTGTGTTTCCTTCTTCTACAAAAGGAAAGTTCTTGACATTTTCTTTTCCAGATACATTTTATAGTCAGCTATTCTGAATTTTGTTTGATTTGTGATAAATTTGTAGATCAAACGGTGAACAGGTATCTTCATGATTCCTGAATTTCCTAAATATAATAATGTATCCCTTCATGTGTTTAAGTCCTCTTTAATGCCTCTGAGTAAACTTTTATGATGTTTTCAAAATAGAGATTTGCATGACTTTGTTAGATCAACTTTTAGGCACTTGACATTTTCTAATCTATTGTAAATGATATCTTTTAAAATTCTGAATTCTAGTGTGTTGCTGGTATTTAGAAATGTAATTTAGTGTATATTTACTTTCAATCATCTTGATAAATTCTGTTATTTCTAGTAATTTATATAAAGATTCTTTTGGATCTAGATTCTTTAGAAGCAATAATTTAAACTGTTTACATAAGGGGCTGAAGAGGTGGCTCAGCGGTTAAGAGCACTGGCTACTCTTCCAGAGGACCTGGGTCCAGTTCCCAGCACCCACATGGGGGTTAAAAACTATCCGTAACTCCAGTTCTAGGGAATCCAATGCCCTCTTCTAAACTCCAAAGGCACTGCATCCATGTGATGCACTTACCTGCAGGCAAATCACTCATACACATAAAAAATTAAGATGTTTACATAAATAATAACTATATAACTTCATAAAATTTCACAGATTAACACATACCTTAAGACGATATTGTCAAGGCTGCAAATGAATCCTTTGTGCCTTCTTCTCTTCCCTGTCTTTTTCTTCAAAGATAATACTGACTTCTAACCCGCTTGATAGGGTTCTCTTATCTCTGTTCTTCATATAAATGACACCTCTCATTACTTGACTTATTTCTCTCAATGTTATGTTTATAAGATTCACTCAGGGCCTGGAGTGATGGCTCAGTGGTTAAGAGCACTGACTATTCTTGCAGAAGACCCAGGCTCAAATCCCAGTACCCACACAGCAACTAACAACTGTCTATAACTCCAGTTCCAGGGGATCCGATAGCGTCTTCTGTCCTCCACGGGCATTGCATGACACAGGTGCATTTACCTACAGGCAGGAATAACAGCATAAACAGAAAATAAAAATAATAAATAAAATATTTTTAAAAGATTCATTTATATTGTTTTTCATTTTTATTGCTACATGGAATTCTACTGAACAACCATATTCACCATTGTCCTTTGGAGGGGCACTGAGTAGTTTCTAAGTTTGGACTATTATGAATAGTGTTTCTTTTTTTTTTTTTTTTTTTTTTGAAACAGAGTCTCCCTGTAGCTCCAGCTGGCTGTCCCAGAACTCACTATGTAGACCAGGGCGGCCTTGAACTCACAGAGATCCGCCTGCCTCTGCCTCCTGAGTGCTGGGACTACAAGCGTGTGCCACCACACCCAGCAAATAGTGTTTCTATGAATATTGTAGTACATGCACTTTTGTGACAATAATTTGTAATGTAATAATAATGTAATAATAAACATAAAGTTAGAACTGGTGGAGCATAAGGAATGTGTATATGGCAAAAGGAATTTTGCAGAAATAATTAAGATTGTAATCGATTGACCAATTGACCACAAGTCAAGCCAAAACTAGAAGTGAGTTGAAGGTAGGTGTAGCAAAGCACCACCAGCTTCTGCTATGGCTGCTACAGTGTTGCCACTTGTCTTTTATTTTAATTATTGGGGCTGAAGCGATATCTCAGTGCTTAAGAGCACACTAGCTGCTCTCACAGAGGGTCTGGGTTCAGTTCTCGGCACTCACACCGCAGCTAAGAACCATCCATAACTCCAGTTCCAGAGGATGCCCTCTTCTGACCGCTGCAGGCATTGCACAACACAGGTGCACTTACATACATGCAGGCACTCATACACGTAAAATAAAAATAATAAATAAAAAATTTTAAATTCTTGAAACATTTTTCTTTTTCTTTTAGCTTCCATCATGCAATGAAGAGTCAGAAATTATTCA